TAATATCGATGCATGGGTGCCTTGAAGAGGGAGGGGAGATGGGGCACCTTGTCCCAGACCTCGACTTTATTGGGAATCCGAATTTTTAATTCTTAACTAATAAAATGTTTTCAATTATAATACAAATTATCCGCTATAATCTAATGTATTCTGTTTACGTATTAGGGGGGAGGGATGGTATGAATTTGTTTGAAATAAGGAGCCCCGCGCCTCTCCTTTTCTCTGGGCGCCCCTGTGATGTTGACAAAAATCTCTATGGTATAATTAGAAATTGCAAAGGAAGAATGTTAATAACTTATAACAAAAGCAGGAATCCAGAAATAGATGATACACGATTTTTATTTTACTTTTTATATACTATTACATCAATACTATTCAACTAAAATTCCAAGGCAATCATAGCTAAATGTTAGTATTTGGAGACGTGATAGAACAAAAGATGTTAATGTTCTGTAGAGGTTTTCAGGCGATTCTTGAATGGCAACTCAATATCGGGGGCAAATTTATACAAGATTTGAATCAAATATACGTACCTTACGTATTTAATCCTATCATTTTATAATTTTCACATGTCGTAAATGACATTGTGTGTAAATTGCGTAATTAAAAGCTGTTGGCGATGTAATCTTCAGATTCTGAGCAAAAGGAAAAACGCATATCACTGTAATCACGTGAAGGTAATGCAGATGTTCCTTTCATTTATGAACCACATTTGCATTTTTCTCACCAGTGACCCGGATTACAATCGGAAAGCCGGAGTCGCGTCATGACCTAACGTGGATATGACGTAAGGATGGAGAAATGCCGCAAGCATTAATATTGTTGACTCTTTGTGGAGTCTCGGGAAGGGAGCGATTCATTCTTACACTTCGAGCTGTGAAGTTTTATTACAATATCTGCAAAGTGTGACGTAACAAGCTCGGCACTGGAGGGAGTTTGCGTGCCGCACACTGTGTGGTGTTCCGTGGTGCCTGGCCGATGTTCGCGGCCGTTCGCGGCAATCGTACTGCTCCCCATCCGAAGAGGGCGTTGAGGGGCGGGGTAGGGTTATGTAGTGAGTTACGCGTGTGTGTGCGAGTGAGTGCAGGTCTTATATTGTGTGAAGGTCGATATGTTGTAATATTTGCGTTTTTGTAGGGTAATTATCATGATTTTAACTCGTTGCGTTGCATGAAGAGAAGATTAGTTGAGAATGGAACTACTATCAATCAACTGTGCAGTCCCCAGTACCTCCTGTCAATTGCAGCAGTCTATGCGGGTGAATGCTATTGTAAAGCATTTATAGACGAATATTGAACTTCAGATGATTAAATATTGTAACTTTTTGATACGTCATCTTAGGATGAAGTAAGTAAATACATTGTTCTGTGTAATGTCAAGGAAAGTGTGCGTTAGCGTTCTGGTTATTTTGAATACTGAATAAAATGCCGCAACGTGAGCCAAATATAGAATCTAGCCTAACAATTCCCCCATGCACCCTTATAGAATTCCGCCACTTAGCTATACGTAATGAAGATGTAAACTTGTGACATTGTGTTCTCAAACTAGAAATTTGTGATAATTTATATTGCCAGTGAAAAGTGCAAAATAGGATGCACATCATTTATTTCCTTTGGAGTGTGTTTTTAATGTAATTAAAAAATATTTTTACATAATGAATTTGGATAAATATTTTTTCCAGACAGGGCAGCAATGGCAAAAATACCTTAGCCATATAGTTCTTACTAAGAAACCAATTAATAAAATGACATCTGGACTTCGTCACATTGCTACAGAACCTGCAAATTTAAATAATAGGTATTTCAACATGGATAAAAAACGCAGCCCTCAGTTTCGCAATAAGATGAAATCAGTTACTGGAATGGGATCTGATTCGGTAAGATTTCCTCTTGAAAGTATATAAAATATTTTTGAAAATTTTGGGTATTAATAATTTACTGTTTTGTTTGTAGGAGGGCAGCATAGAGACGAATAGCCTGTCAGCAGAATCAACTAATGAGGTAATAATAGCGAAAACTCCTCCAAAGGAAAATATAATTGGTAAGTTGTAAATTTTACAGAATCTGTACATTTTACAAAAATGAGTGAAAAGATCTATAAGTCATAAAATAATTATTTTCAGTTGCTAATAAAAGGAAAGCTCGCCGAGGCTCTGAGTGGGAAATATTAGAAGGATTGAAAGATGGCCAAAGGTTTGATAAGAAACCAGAAGTACTGACAGGGTATTTGCATAAAAAGAGGAAATGGCCTTTGAAAGGCTGGCACAAGGTATATAATATTCTGTAACTTGTTTTTATTTTTTAAGTGTTATTAAATTCAAAGGGATAATATTGATTGAAAAAGTTCTTACCTTTCAGAGGTATTTTGTTGTGGACAAAGGAATTTTGGTGTATGCTAAGGGCCCTGGGGATATAGCTAGAGGAAAGGTTCATGGATCTGTAGATATTGGCCTTTCAGTAATTTCCACAAAAGCAAAAAGACGTCGATTGGATATCGATGCTGAAGAGTTCATTTATCACCTTAAGGTGAGTAGGTTTCTATACATGCAAGCTGTGTTTTGAAAACAATCAAAATGGAGTGAACTTATTTGTATGTGGCATTATAAATTAATAAATACGGTTTCAGGTTCGTATTCTTGTGTAAGAGTTTATTTACATTCAATACAAAATTGAATGTAATGATGAAGTGAAAGATTTTGGTGACATTAACATTTTTTCAAATAATTTAGTGCACCTGCTAATAATAATATTTGTGATACCAAGAAGTTTTCCAAGCTAATTTAATTATTTATTTATTTAGTATTAAGTAGTTGCAATTGTACCTAGTACTTCACAACAATTTTTGTATAAAATGAAAGACAATAAAATCTAAAGATAATCTTATGTAGCCTCTAATAACTTATTTGATTTCATTGTGAAAATATTTTTGTGTAGGCTGCAAGGGCATACGAGTGTATAATTTTCTTTGTGACTGAGTCTAAAGAAACTTGTGTTATTAGAGACAAATGACCAAAGCTCGCTATATTTTTCAGTCATAGGAAGCAGGTGAATTTATTTAATAATCTTGTAATTCTGTAAACAAAACTTGGAATTTCTAAATGCTAAATTTTATGTTTGAATTAGAACACATTCTTGAAAAGAATCACTGAAATGGTTTTGATAATTAAAATGATTTCATAAGCTTTTCTTACTACATTTTTATTTCCTATTTGCTGTTAAAATATATTGGGTTTGAATTATACATCACTAATATTATGGTCAATGATGTAACTAGGACTAAAGATAACTGATTCTGAGGCAATTTTGAAAGGAAAAATAAATTATCAGCCATGTGATTAATTTGTGAAAATTCTACAGAATTTTCATGTTTCATTCATATTCATGTTCATTCTTCAGAATTGGAATTTCAAGTAATTAAGTTGATTATCTGTATTTGATCATACCAAATATTGAAGACCACAATAAGATAACATTTTTTAAGGCTGAAATGTTTGCATATTTAGTTACAATTTTGTAACCACTAAAAAAATTAACAATATTTTTATTCTTGACTATTTTCACTCACAAAAGTACTAAATATTTTGCAAATATATAAAATAAAATAGGTGTTTTAATCAGTAATATTCAATGGTATGCTTTTGAAGTATTACGAGATGAAATATTTTAAATTCCGCACACTTATTGTTGATTCCTATTAGTTTTCATAGTATTTAGTAGTCCCATATTGTGAATTTCATAAATAAGTTTCTATGTCTTTTAGGAAAATCTTTTTTTCCAGTGGTGTTGAAGGTTTCCTGCTTAATGTAGGATTTGAAAATATTATAATTAAAAGGCTTTAAATTAGAACTGCAAAAGTAGGCCAATAGAGAGGGTTGATGGGAATTTATTTCTTGGATTACAGATTTTCTAATATCTTTAGTAACTTTTAATTTGTTGTAATAATTTGAAAACTGTAATGAGTATTTTTAGGAATATCATGATTTAAAAATCCTGTAGATATAAAGGTACAAATGTAATATTGTTCTGTTAATATTATACTGTTAATTAATTGTGATGATGGGACAAAGCACTAATGATGAATTAGCATGTATGGATGCTTTTACTAGTTTGTAATAGTACAAATGCTTTCAGAAATCAATGAAAACTATTACTACCTTATTTAACTACAAATTTAACTCTTCATTTTGTGTTAAATAATTTTTAATGAAATGAAATCCAATGATCATGATTATGAGAAACTGTATACTAATTTGATATAATTTCATTTGAAACTTGTTTAAAAATCAAGTGTTCAATTAAATATTTTCCCCTCATCTTGCCATTTTACTATTTTTATAAAAAAAAAAAATCATGACTAGTTCCAAATTAGCTTTGTGAAATTCAAAAATTTATTTACTTGTTTGTGCTGTAGGTATTACTGTATTTCAGGTGTTTTGGAGCATGTACATATGTAGAGGGGAAAGTGGGAATGAAGGAGGTTTTTCCAGGATTGATTTGTGCTCCCTCATAAAGAGTTCAAGATTCTTCATAATTTAGCATTTGTATTTTACTTAAAATGAATGAAGTGTCTCTCTAAGTGTATTGAATGGAGGAAAGATAATAGAAAATCTTTCTTTCTCAGGCAAAAACCCATGAGACATTTATGCGCTGGGTGGAACAATTGAAGCAACATCGACTGTACCGACAACATTTGCTGACGTATGGGACCCGTGAAGTTCCTGCCATTCGAGCCACAGATGATGGCAGTCCTACTTCACATAACGCTAGTCAGTATCCTATATTTGTATGGTGTATTAGCCTCTGGGGCACAAAGGAGACTAATGAGAATAGAGTACAAAACTGTGAAAAATATTGCATTTGTGTTTTTGCTAATCGTTATGTTTTTATAACACTAAATGTAGTTAAAATTTTCATTTATATTTTTGCTCAATATCTATTTGTTTAAAATAATTTTTATGTGCATAATTTTTCAATTTGATAAAATTTTAGTTCTATTTAGAAAAAAAGTAATGTATGGTATGTTGGCAATTATTTTTTCTACTTATAAGTCTGTATGTAGATCATTGTGGATTTTTCTTTTATTTACTGGAACAAAAAGAGAGGAAGAAATAACTTTTTTTTTTAAGTTACTGCTTGGTGCTTAACAACTTTAGCAGGGTTGGTGTAACCAAGCAGTTAAATCATTATCACTTCTTGTGATTTACTCTTATGGATTATACAATCTGTAAATTTTCAAATCCTGAAGTAATTGAACTGAAAATGAAGTTTCAAGAAAAGTTTTTACTTTTT